CTGGGGGGGGCGTTAAAGGGCTCCACGCCGGGGGTGGGGGGGCCTCCAGGCCGGGTGGGGGGGCTGTCCGCCCCCAGACCTCCCCGCGCAGGACGGAGGACGGCCCCCTCGCAGGTCCCCTTCTGGATCTGCTCCCTGAGTATCTCCATTCCTTTGTCTCTGTCTCTCTGCTTCTGTTTCTTTATCTCTTTCTCTGTCTGGGTCTCTGTTCCTCTGACTCTGTTTCCCCATCTCTCTCATTCACGTGTCTCCCTCTAAGCCTCTCTCTGCCCACTCGCTCTGTGTCTCTGCTGCGCCCTGTCTCGGTCTCTGTCTCTGTTTCGCGCTCTCTAAGCCACCCAGCCTGTGGGTCTTTGCACACACCCTGACTGGATCCCATTTCCATTGTGTAACTGGAAAACTCCTATTCATCCATCAATGCCCAGTCCAAATGTCCCCTCCTCCAGTATGCCTTTCCTGATTCCCCTAAACTGAGGCTTTACTCCTCCTCTCTAGACTCCCCCAGTCCCCATCCCTTCCTTTGGCTGGGCCCTGACCCCACCATAGCTCTGCTGACCACTCCTCTCCTCTAGCTGGGTAGTTCCAGGTGGGGCCTTACCCTGCAAACCTGTTTACTATGGATCCCCAGTGCCTAGAAAAGCACCAGAAGCTGAGCCCCACAGGGTCCCCTACCCCCAGCACACATGGAGGAACTTCATAAAGGCAGAATGTGCATGGAGTTAATTGTGAGAGAAGCCTTCATTCAAAACCTGTCTCTGCCTCTAATCACCAGTATGACTTGACCTTGGGTAAGTCACAAGGCTTGTCTGTGCCTCAGTCTCCCCACCTGTATAATGGGGATAACAAGACCTGCCTCACAGGGTTGCAGAGATATTAAATGAGTTAACACCTGAAAGCACTTGGAATCGTAATGCCTAAGGTTAACCATTGTATCTCTCACTGCTTTAAAATTTTTTATTCAACATCAGTTAGCTATAGGAAAAGAATAAGGATCAGCAACGGCAGGGTTGGATTTAAAACATTACCATCACAGCGGAAGACCCCTGTGCACCTCTCTCCAATCTCATTATCCCTCCCCTCAGGTGGAAGAACTACCTCAAAGTTTGCTTTTTTTTTTTTACAAAAAAAGCTTTTGTGACCATTCTCAGACTTGTGCGCTGGTGCGCACAGGTAGGGATGACTGGGTAATAAAACACACACATGCTCAGCTCCACCAGATAACATCAAATTGTTTTTTATGGTGACTCTAGCAATTTCTTCATATCAGCATGGTATAAGAATTGGTCGCTCCAGGTCTGAGCCAACACTGAATCGTACAGATTTTTTTATTTTAAAGATGACTGGTAAGGGGATCTTAACCCTTGACTTGGTGTTGTCAGCTCCACACTCTCCCAAGTAAACTAACCGCCATCCCTATATAGGATCCGAACCCGTGGCCTTGGTGTTATCAGCACCGCACTCTCCCAGCCCTTGTCCAGATTTTTTAATTGTGCCAGTGTGGAGGGGGTGAAGTGGTGCCTCTCTCTTTTTTTTTTTTTCCGGCTGGCCAGTAAGGGGATCTGAACCTTGACCTTGGCATTATCCACACCATGCTCTAACCAATTGAGCCAACCAGCCAGCCCTCATTTTGGTTTTGATTTTCTCTCTGATTGCTCATGATACTGAACTTTTTATGTGATTACTGGTTTTTTCTTCTAATGAAATGCCTGTTCAAGTCTTTTACCCATTTTTTAAAAATTTGTCTTTTCCTATTGATTTGTAGGAGTTCTTACATGTATTAGCTAGGAATTCTTTGTTAGTTTCATGTGTTGTAAAAATCTCCAAGTTTGTGGCTTGTCTTCACTCTACTTATCATATTTTCTGAACAGAAGCTCTTAATTTTCTAATAAACTACTTATTTGGGAAGAAATTTTAGACATACAGAATAGTTGCTGAGGTATAGAGCTGCAGAGGTACAGAGTTTCCTGTATAGCCTTCACCCAGCTTCCACTAATGTTAACATTTTACAGGTTACAGGTACATTTCTCAAAACTAAAGTACCGACATTGGCACAGATTCGTAACTAAATGCAGGTTTTATTTGCATTTCACCATTTTCCCCCCATTAATGTTCTCTTTCTGCTGCAGGATCCACTTCAGGATCCCACATTGCATTTGGTTATCTTGTCCCCTTGGTTTCCTCCAACCTGTGATTTTGTTTTAGTCTTTTATTAATTTTCATGACCTTGACCCTTTTTTTTTTTTTGTCTTTTGTCTTTTTCCGTGTCCGGCAACGGATCGCAACCCTCAGTGTCGCGCCTGTACCGGACCGGGACCGGCAACGGGATCGCAGCCCTCGGTGTTGCTCCCGCGCCTCACTCAACCAGTGAGCGGGAACCGGTCTGTATGTGGGATCCGAACCCTCGGGCAGGAGCGCCGCGACCTTGACACTTTTGAAGGGTATTTTGAAAGGTATTTTGAAGAAAGCTCCTCAATTTGAGTTTGCCTGATGTTTTCTCATGATTAGACAGGGGTTATGGGGTTTTGAGGGAAGATCACAGAGGTCAAGCACCCTTGTCAGCACATCATACCAGGGCACCTAATGCCCACATGGCATCACCAGTGGTGTTAACCTTGACCACCAGGTTAAAGTGGTGTCTTTTTTATTTATCTATTGTCAAATTACTATTTTTCCCTTTCTCTACTCTATTATTTGGAAGCAAATCACTAAATCCAGATCGCCTTCAAGGGATTACACTCCATTTCTGGAGGGGGGGTGATATCTACAAAGCTCTTAATTTTACTTTTCTTTTTTCTTTTTTGTGGCTGCTGTTATGCAAAGCTCTTAATTTTAAATTCTTTTTTAAAATTGTTATAAAAAACACCTAACAAAATTTACGCTTTTTAAGTGTACAATTCAGTGGCATTCAGCACATTCACAATATTGTGCAACCACCACCTCTATCTAATTCCAGAACATTCTCATCACCCCAAAAGGAGACCCATCCCCATTAGCAGTTACTCCCTCTCCTTCCCTCCCCCAACCCCTGGCAGCCACTATCTGCTTTCTGTTTCTGTGGATTTAATTTTAAATCCTTCAACTTGATCAACCTTTTCCTTTGCAGTATAGGACACTATATGTCCACGTCATAATACTCAGTCTCATTTAAGGAATCCTTTTTTTTTTTTTTTTCCCTTTTTTGTCTCTTTTTTACAACAAATTCAACAAGAACAGCCAAATTTTGTCATTTTATACACTAGACTTCCCTGAAAAAATTATTTTGGTGAAAGAATTGAATATGTTAAAAATAATACCAATTTACTTACATAAAGCCATGTAAAAGAGAAATTAAATCTAAAGATGAGAATAAGAGTAGGTTTAATTAATAAAAGCAAAAGCTTGTTTAAAGGTCAATAAATACAGAATCTTTTGGAAATTTGACTTTAAAAAAATAAACACTAACAACATTAAGAATAAAAAGGAGAAAATGAGCGCCGCCACACTCCCAAGCGGCGCACTCTCCAGTGCGCCACCGGGCCGGCCCCTAAGGAATCCTTTCCTGCCCCAGCATCATGAAGATCTTTTCAGAGTGTCTTCTACATTTTCAGAGTTTGTCATTTACAGCGAAGTCTTGACGTGTCTTGGAACTGATTTCAGTGTGTAGAGTGCAAAAAGGTTCAATCGCATATTTTTTCCACATGGATAATCGGTTGTCCCAAACCCTTTAATGAAAGTGTCACAAACAAGACTTCACACGTGTGGACTTACTAGTGAGCACAGACCAACCAGAAGGCATGCAGTGCCACTGGTTGTCTGCCCCGCCTGCGGTCCTGTTCTGGACCCCACTCTTGTCCCTGGGGCCATCTATTCCTGTTACTAAGCTTTGTATTAATCCTTGATACCTGCTGATACCAGTCACTCATATTGTTCACCTTCTTCATGAGCATCTGAGTTACTCATTGCCTTATTCTCTGCCTTCTTCTGAGCCTGTTGGGTTCCGTGGAAAAAAACCCAGTTGGGACTTTGATTGGAATTGCATTGAATCTATAAATCATATCAGGAGAATCAGCATCTTTTGTCATATTGGCTCTTCCCAAGTGCAAATACAATGAATCTTTCCATTTATCTACCTTTCAGTTCAAACTTACAACGTTTAGGTTTATTTCTAGATGCTATATATATATTTGATGCTATGGATAAATGGCCCTTTTAGATTACATTTTTAACCTGTTAGTTGCAGAAGTATCAAATGCAATTGGCTGCAGCATCTAGCAAGCCTTCTTAACTTGGAAATGCAATCATTACATTTGCAGATTCTTTGAGGGTTCATTGTATACAAAGATGTCATCTGCAAGTAAGGGAGTTTTTATTTCTTCCTTGCCACTCTTTGGACCTTTCATTTTTTTTTTTTCCTTCTGTAAAATGCCAGGCACCATAGTCACAGGATTCCTCACCTTGCTCCCCATCTTAAAGAGAACATTTCAACATTCACCATTGATCACTCAGATCCAATTAACTTTTAAGCCATGGTGCCTCATTTCACTCCCACCCACGGCTCAGCTAATTCCAGAGCTATTGACTTGAGCCGTCTGGTCCCTCCGCTTGGCTATGCCACCCTGCATCCGTCTTTCCTCGTGCTGTCTTCTCTGCAGCTCCCCCTTCCCTGTTCTCACTGTGCATCTATGTCTGTGTCTTTTGCAAGCTCTCTCTGACTCTATGTGTCTTTCCGCCTCTCTTCTCTCTTGGCTTCTGATATTTCACTCTCTCTCCATCACCCTATGAAACCTACAAAAAGAATCAACGAAAGAGAAGTAA